ACAGCTTCAAGAGGTCCAGAGTCCTAAATAAAATAGATAAAAATATGATATCTTCAAGGAAAACCTACTATAACAACCAACGATACATCTGGAGGATTAGGATGTGATAATACAAAAGGAAATCAGAGAATATGAACAAAATTCACGAAAACCACTAAACTACGACGGACCATGGCGGGAATTTTAGGGAACGATATTCTAATGAGGTGGAGAGCTATAACACATTCGTTTGAGTAATTCTTGACTACTAGCAACTTTTTCTTTCAGTTTCAAACCTGAATAATTCACTCATTTACCATTTCAGTCTCATTTTAACTAAATGTCACTAAATAAAAATGGAATAAATCAGCTGAAGGTCTCAGCACAGCCGTACGCATAGTAATGCGAAGTTTGAATTCAGAGTCATCGAGTCATAGCAAATTTAATGGTATATATATAGAATTTGAAATAGGTAACTGCGGCAAATGCAGCGCAGCCAAGTTCTAATTAACCATTAAAATAGCTTAGGCGAGGGAGGACAATAAGAATTCTAGGCGCAGTCTGACCGCAGTAGAACCGCAGTTCAGTGCAGCAAAAGCACAGTAGAACTATAGCATGAAAATTTCATTTTTATTCAGTTTGAGAAAAATACACTGTAAATAAATCCTGTAAATAGAAGGTAGAGCGTGAAAAAGGAAGGCGACCCAAGGAGTATAAAAGGGAGACCCTTTCTGCGACTTTTCACCCCCCTTAGAGAAGTAAGAAAATAGAGTATTATTTTTCTCAAGCATTTCTGGTTGTCACTCCAGTGCGAAAAAGTGATATACAGTTAAGATTGCCACTGTAGTAAAAGGCAGCAATTAAGGAGAGAAATATTAAGTAGATATTTCAACAGGAGAGCTGGTTAACACTCCAGATTTCAAAGTGTAAACACAAAACAGTTATTTTGCTACTGTTAAAACAAGCGATAAAATAAGACAAAAATAAAACGAACTCAAGGGACACTCCAGACACCATCCAAATTCATTAACTGAATAGAATCTTTGAAACTTCACCAAGTAGAAGATTAAATTCAAGTTTAAATCCAAATTAAACAACGCTACACAGAATTACACCTAGACAAATTAATAAATTTCAATAAAGAAACAGCTCCGCAGGGCTCGGTTTATCTGTAAGTCAATTCCCAGGAACTTTAAAACTAACCCATAAAAATAGAATTAGCCAAAACACTCGGATTGGTACTATATTTACAATAAATAACACTAGTACACTTCCCCATCCTAACTAAAGAACCAGGGAACAGCTTGGTGGTGGTCTCGTTTGAACCTCCCAACTGACTTTCCTTTGTTCTCTCCTTCAGCGCTCCCATCGGGGATTTGGATGCCCATATGTGCCCATTCTGCAGGTTCTCGCACAGGAACTCGTCTAGTTCCTTCTGCTCTGGCTGTGACAGGGGGAAGGTCCTCCCTCTTGGGAGCTTGGCATCTGGCACTAGGTCTATTGCGTGGTCCCAGGGGTTCCGTGGAGGTAGCTGGTCGAAGGCCTCTTTCGAGAATACGTCTCTGAAGTCCTGGTATTGTTCTGGGACTAGCGCTTCAAACGGTGCTGGCTTTGCCTCTGGCTCGCGGGCCTCCTGGGCCATCCGCTGGGATGGTGTTGTGGTTGCTCTCAGTTCGTGTCCCCACCCTGGAGGGATGATAGCAGCGTAAATCCCATCCCCAGGTTCCACCACAGGGTCTGGGTCAGCCTGTCCTCGCACCGACTGGCAGGAGGACGGGCAGCGGGACATACTGACCTTTTGCCACGTCCAGTCTACCTCTGGGTTGTGGTGCAGCAACCATGAGTGTCCTATGATGAGGGACTGCCGCCCAAGGTTCGCGACAGCGAAGCGGGCCCGCTCCGTGTGCTGCCCAAATGTCAAGAGGGCCTCTAGTTCTTCGGTTATGGCTCCATTCTCGTTTGGGGTTCCATCGACGTTACGAACAGGGATGGGTTGGGGGAGTGGAGTCATCTTGAGCCTATGCTTCCTAATGAACTTGGGGCTTACAAAGTTCCCGGTGGCTCCCGAGTCTAGGAGCGCTGATACGGAGACGGTGGCGAGGGAGGTCAGGGTGGTCAGCTTTACAGCCATGTTGAGGGATCTGGGGGGTTGCTTGGACAGCACGTAGATGGTGGGTGGTGGGACCGCTACCTCCAGCGCACTTGGGGCTTCTTTGCCCTTACTACTTGAGGATGCGATTTTCCTCTTCTTCTTGGTGATGACTCAGTGGAATTTGGACGTCGGCACTGGCTTAAGTGCCTCACGGTATCTACACGAGCTACTACTATCGCCTGCAGGTGGCCAGGGCGTGTCCCTCACCGGTCACCTTCCTGAAAATCCTCTTGGGGCTCTGTCTCTTGCCCATCTCCTCCCTCTGTTTCTGGTTCGTCTACCAACTGCCTTCTCAGCCCTTCCATGAGTGCCCTAAGGTCCTCTGGGTGCATCCGCCTGGCTCAGCGGATTTTTGGTTGCAGGCAGTCTTGCACGACGTGCCCCGGTGCATTGCAGTTATAGCACAGCCCATTCCATCTTTGGTCTATCCTTGATCGGTCGAGGTCCATGGGCTGTGGTCCTCCTCCTGCTGCAGGGCGCGCTGTGGGAGGCGGCGGTGCAGCGGTGGCTGGGGGGCGTAGCGGTGGAGGAGCTGGGCGCACTTGTGGGAAGGTAGTGGGGAGCGGGGATCTCGTGGGTGGGAGTTGGGGTCTGACTGGGGGCAAGTGGGGCTGCGTTGCCTGGAAGCGCCGCCACTGGTTGTCGAGGAGGGTGGCTTCACGTTTCCACTCGGCCCAGGTAGTTGGCATGGGGTGGAGGCGGTAGATGCTCTCTCAGAGCTGGGAGTTGATCGCCTGTTCAAAGCAGTCTACTAGCCCTATGTCTCCTAGCCGCAAGGCGGGGCCGAGGATCTCGAACTCTTGGATGACCCTGTCCACAGAGTCGGTGCCTTGTCGCAGGGTGGCCAGCTTCTGCCTGGCCATGGCTTCACGGTTCAGGTCTTGAAACATGGCATCGAGTTCCGTGTTGAACTCATCCATGGTAAGCCCAGGGGAGCCTGTTGTCAGCAGCGCGATGGTACGCTGTGTCGCCCATGCTCCCGCAGTGCCTCCCTTCATGTAGGACAGGACAAAGAGGATCTGGGAGAGGGCGTCAGGAAACTCCGCCGCCCGAACATGGAAGTAGATGCCGCATTCAGCCTTGAAGCAGTCAAGGTCTTCAGTTGCTCCAGAGAAGGGGGTGGGGGGGGGCAACTTTGGGCGGTTTGGGTCTGGGGGCGGGTGCGGGCACAGGTGCAGGTGCTGGTGTGGGTGCAGGCGCAGCTGGGGGTTGGTTCTGGACTTGGCTCTCTACAATAGCTTGGAGCTCTTGGAATCAGGACAGCAGCTCGTCATACTGCTCTTCAGTCACCACAGTGGGGGAGATGGGGGAGGCAGGGGAAATGAGGTTAAAGCCTTCTTCTGCTGTCAGGGACAGCTCCGAAAGTGGCGAGGTCCCGGCACGAGGGACTCGATGGGACAGGTGTTGGCTATGCATAGTGGCGATCCCGTCGCGGGGTGAGCATCCCTGACCACTTAGGCTGAAGTGGGAAATTGAGAAGAAGGCTGCTTCTTCTGTTCCCACCCCAGGCACTATTATATACATGCAGTTAGGGTCATGTGGAGGAAGCCACATCATCTCCGCACACGGCCGCACCTCCCTGGGTGTCTCTGCGGGAGGTCCCAGAGGTGGCTGCTCAGTAGGTGGGAGTGTGCGCGGTGTGTGCGGCGATCAGGGGAATGGGGTTAGGTATGTAGTGGTACATGGAGGAAAGGGAAATCAACTGTAGAATAGAAATAGAGAGAAAAGGGGAAAAGTGAGAAAGGAGGGATGGGGAGTGATAGCGGGGGAAGCGGGGTAGGGCAGTACGGCATGGGGTGCAGCGTGGGGTCAGGTGGGTGTGCCCTGACACCCTTTTGGGAAGCACCATAGAGTTCCAACCCTTGTTGTTCCCTCATCCAGTCCCCCTTTGTCCTCCTTCCAGTTCCCTTTGTTCTCTGACTACCACTTAGGGCAGAGGAAGAAGAATATGATAGGGAAGTGGATGTAGTGGATGGAATTAGGGTTAACAAAGATTTGGGCTTCTGCGACCATGGGAACCGAAAGGAAAAGCAAGAGATGAGTATTGGGAAGGGAAGTTTAGGCAAATGAAACTTAGACTTATTGACCCTGACCATCCTGAGCTTGTGGAGCCGGATCTAGATGAGAAGGAGTTGGAAAAGTACATTAAGGAGGATGCAGAGTTTTGGGATTTCAGACATGAAACCTACCCAGGAGTTGACGGAGAGCTCGTTAGGTTTAAATGGATAAAGGTCCAGAAGGGGGAATCTTCTTATACCGGCCAAAAGGAGGCATCAGCAGAGAAATTTCGAGACGAGGTATGGGAGATGGCTGAGGGAGCAGAGACCTATGAGGATGAGGATGTGGTGGAGCTCCTCCCTTCAAGACTTTATTACGAGCCCTCTGAAAGCATGGATTGGAGACAACATCAGGGCAGGTGGATTAGTAGGCCGCATCTGGCAGAAGGGGAGTCCAAGACGAGAGGACTTTTGTTGACATGATATGAGAAGATTTTCAACAGGAAAAAGCAGATGCAGGGAAGAGAAAGGCTGATGAGCTTAGGACCGTGGAGAAAAATGAGGTTAGGAGGATTCTTGAGCACCCCCGCCCATTTCCCCCTCATTGCTGCTGACTACAAAGTCGTGGATTTGATTACCCATGCCACCAAACGAGTCCAAGAGTTCAAAGATCTAAGGAAACAGACAGTTACTCTTCATGACCAACGTCTCAAAATCATTTATGAAGACTTGGTCAACCAAGACTGATTCATCATGTCCATGATCAAATTTCTACACTCTTGGGAGCACTTAAAGGGACAGCTGCTAAAATTCAAACCACCTATGATGAAGCAAGGGTCTGTGAAGAGAAGGCAGTGGACGCAGCGAAAGCAATGGAAGTAATGTTTAGGGCTACCCATGAGAACTTGATTTTGGATGATGATTATTACCTCATCATCTCCAAATGCATTCATGCTATGAAGAACAGGTTCTTGGAGAGGTATGCTTCCACGGATCAAAGGATTAAGAATTTCATTGGCAATTCTCAAGCATTCTGGGATGCTTGGGGGGAGCTGGTGCCTTTACCAAGGTCGCCCTATATGACACATTATACAGACCAAACATTACAGATGGAGCAGAAGGAACAGGAAATGGGATCGGCAACTCTAGTGAAAGGGGAATTCAAGAACAAGTTGGGAAAAATGGTCAAGGAGCAGGAGAAAATTAGTGCAGAGCTCAAGGAGAGAGTAGCAGCTCAAGGCACATTGGCGCACGAGGTAGTTGAGGAATCCGAGTTAATGGATTTGGTATTGGAAGAAGCTTCTACTTCCAAGGTGCCTGTGCCAAAGAAGAAGAAACTTGTTTTGAAAGATCAAGAAGCCAAAAAGTCACCTAACCTCAGGAAGAGGATGAGGGTGAAGGCTTAGCTGAAGAGTCTGAGATCAGATTTGTACGAATAGGATGAGGACAGGAATTCATTGTGACCAGGATATATTTATGGGAGGGGAATGCTGTGTTACGAAGTGTAGTATTTGGAATGTGGAATTTGTGATATCGTGAGGGACCATGATGAAGAACGTTCTCCATGCCCCATGGGATGTACAACTCCAAAACAATGCAGCAAGGAGACTGCAACGCTCCCTGTACTTTCCAGTGCATGTTGACCTGGGAACTACAAGGAGAAATAGGCAGACATCTACATCTCTGGTTTGATGATATCTTCACCAGCACAAGCTCGGTGAAGAACCACAATGAAGCACTATTGTGGTTATTCACTCGCCTCAAGGGGGTGAAGTTCTACATAAGCCAGATGTCAGAGACCAGATCCAGGATGAAGATGACATCCCCATGGTGGAGGGCTTCAGCCTCAGCGACTAAACCAGGAGCGCTGTGCCTAGTTACATGTCTGTGCCCTAATTTACTAACTGGCAAGGAATACTAGAAGGGGAAACTCTAGTCAATTTTATCACTATGGTGTAACCTGTTAGAGGAGCATGGAGTTGTTCGGAAGCAGAGAAGGGACTCAGGAATGGAGGGACCTTGGCCTCAGCAACTCAAGTGGAGCGCTGTGCCACTGCTTGTTGTCTAAGGTGGTCATTAATTTTGGGTTAGCCAGGGGAGTCTCTTGGTGTTAAAGAAATGGGTTATGGGTAATCCATTTCTTTCCATCCTTATAGACGACTTGTAATCGTCCACCTCATGTATGTAGGGCGGCCTAGTTGTGTAATTAGAATTGTCCGATAGCCTTGGAGCTTTTGACAGAAAGCTGAGACCTCGTGGTGAATGGGAGTCTGCTACGACAGATACTTGGCGCTCGTTATGTGAGCGTACCGTGTGTGGGTGTATAGAATCACAGGTTAAGGGAATATCCAGAATGGGACCAGTCGAGGACAAAGGGCTAACGGGTACTTGGTGCTTGAGGGAGCGTACTGGTAGCGAGTGAGATAACAGCTCCTTGAGGGGGCTTCCTGAGATTTGGTTGACAGGTACTTGGCACCCAATTGGGTGTACCTGTTATGGAAATGGGAATTTCCCATTTTAGACTCTTATGGGTTCTGTATCACATGATTTGTATAGTAATTAAGTTTATCCAATCAATAATCAACGAAAAACCCGCTGCCACACTACCTGTTAAACTACATGTTAAACCATCTGTGAAACCATCTGTAAACCCTAATGAACCACCTCCCTTCCCCTTTCCTTTTCCCTGTGCCTCGAACAGACGAAAATGGGTGCCTCCGGCCCCATTTTTGTAACAGTACCGGCAACGAGTGATGTTCTAGCTCCTTGAGGGAGCTACTAGAGGCTGGGTTGACGGATACTTGGCACCCAGATGGGCATACCGGCAACGAGGTATGAGACTGTTCGTCTGGCGAACGATCTGTATTTGTGTCAACGGGTACTTGGTGTCAGGGACGCGTCTGGGGTAGAGGAGGCCCAGGTGAGACGCCCGACACTAGAAGCCTCGCGGGGTGTGGAGCGGGCATGCGTACTGGCGGGCCCGGCTCAGGAGGCAGTCCCTGGCCACTTAGACTGAAGTGGAAAAGGGTGTTATTATTATTAAAAGGGAATACTATGTTACTTACCTGAAGTGGAAAAGGGTGAGAAGAAGGCTACTTCTTCGGTTCCCACTTCAGGTGTGTTTATATACATGCGGCTTAGGTCACATGACGGGTGCCACGTCATCCTCGCATACAGCCGTAGTCACCCGGGTGTCCCCGTAGGGGATCCCGAGGGCGTCCGCTGTGAATGCGCGAGCTGGACATAGCGGGGGTCGCCTGAGGCGCACGGGCTGGGCGTGTCGTGAGCGTGCTGCAGGTGGGTCAATGGTACATTGATACAAGGAAAGGTCGTCCGTGTAGAATAAAGAGAAGGTGAGATAAGTAAAGAGAGAGTGGAATGGAGAAAGAAAGAAAGAAGAAGGGGAGGAGGAGGTAGGGGAAGACTGGGTGGCGGGGTACCGGGTGGAGTGGGGCCAGGTCAGGCGGATGTGCCCTGACACTTGGCGCTCGTAAGAGCGTACCAGTGACAGAGGGGTTAGTCGATCGTAGGTCAAATGACATGTGGTGGGATCGACGGCTACTTGGCGCTCGCGAGAGCGTACCGGCGACGAGGGGAACGGGCTTGTATCGAATACCAATCCGTCCATAGAATTAACCAGATGCTCACCGTAAGGTGAGACAGATGTGAGCCCAGTACCTGGGTGAGTGACGTGAGTCATGACAAAAGGTGTTCGTGCATACCTGAGTTGAGTCACACGCAAACTCGACGATCTGTGGCTAGAGTCGTCAACCTCGGTAGGGATGACCCATATAGATGGTGACCGAGACATACACAATCTTACACAGACGTTACAGTGTTGGCACAAGGAGGTTTACAGTTGTTGCACAGAAGAGGATGGTGTGTTATTCATTAGGTTCCGTCTTTTTGGCTGTAGCCATACATGAACATGACGCTAACTATTGAATAAGAAATGATCACAAGAAATCTCGCGAAATAGAATAAATAATCCGGCCAGCACCAAAACCCAATAAGGGAAAGCTTAGCGCAGAGTGAGCGTGTAAGAAGGGGGGGAAGTGGGGAGAAGGTAACAAAGAGAAGGGAGGATGTGGAGAAGGAGGACCCACTGTGGTGGACGTTCAGTCGACACGGTCGCGAGAGACTCCATTCCTATAACACTTGGGGGGACAATCCAGTCATCATGGTCATCAATTAGGGAACTGGAAGGAGGACAAAGGGGGACTGGATGAGGGAACAACCACAAGGGTCAAGGGTTGGAACTCTATGATGCTTCCCAAAAGGGCAAGGCCAAGAGGGGAAGGAGTAGAGGGGGTTGTGGGGAATGACAGCTGACTAATATGGAAAGGAAGCAGCTGTCTAAATAAGGAAGAGGATTAAATGACACCATACAGTAGAGACTGCAGGGTCCGGAGTCAGAAGTCTAAGTCCAGAATATTGGCAAGACATAATAAATGAAATGCAATAAGGAATACAAGGAGATAAGATGGAGGAGGGGGTCAAAGTCTGGAGGCAGAGATGTGACCGGAGTTCTGGAGGTGGAGGTGTGATGGGGTTCCAGTACAGGAGTCTGGAGCCGGAGGTAAGGAGCATTGCAAACTCTGGTCTGGAAGGTATGAAGTTGGGATCGGACCTGGAGTAAACCAGAGTCGGGCCAGAGGTAGTGTTGGACGTTGTGTTGGAGCCAGAGGTAGAGTGGGCTCTCAACAACCAACAGGGGGAGGAGAGGGTGGAGGATGTGGAGTTCTGGAGGAGATGGAGGTCCAGAAACAGGAGCGGAGGTCTGGAGTTGTATGGGTATGACATAACCTATCTACAAGTTATGTATATACAGTTATAACATAGAGGGCGGGCCCGTAAATGGCAGTAACTTGCAAAAAGTGTAATGGTGGTTCATGAACCATCATGGAAGTCATGACATTTCATGAATGATCACCAAACTTCATGAACCAGCATGAAGTGTCATACACAGTCATGCCAGTTCATGACAAACCATCATGGAATTTCATGAGATGTCATGAACCTGCATGGGGGGTCATGATTGCTCATGATGTAATGGTTCTTCCAGGCAGGTTTTGAGTGGTTACATGCCTGTCTATGAAGTGTGTGTCATGAGCCTTCATAAAGGACCATGGACCCTCATGGACCCTCATGGACCTTCATGAATCACTATGAGTCATCCCAAGAATCACTGTGATTGATCATAAATTAGGATCCTTGGTACAACAATGACAATTGGGGGCATAATGGTTAATTACATGTTACCCTTAAGTTGAAAGTGATATGAAAGCATCACACAAGAAAGTCATGAATACCATCTGTCAGAGTGTGCATGTGCAGAGGTATGGGTGGAAGCAAGTGGTGTGTCTGGAAGCACTGTTCAGTGTTGGCAGAATGGGATTGTGGCCTCATCAACTCAAGGGGAGTGCTGTGCCCTGAGCTTGACATTTGGGGGAGATCCCTTATTTGTGGAGCAGGGACTTACAGTGGACTTCAAGCAAACTTGTGGATTGAGCAGGCCTGTTGAAGACAGGGCAAAACTCAGTGGGGACAGACTTCAGAGTAAGGTCCCTGAAAGTATTTACGGTATAAATAAGGGAGAGAAATCATGGGAAGGGCCAGTCAGTCCAGTGCAGAAATGAGTGGGGATTATCAAGGACAAGAACCCAGGTAATGGGAAGTGAAGAATGAATAAGTAAACAAATGAGTGGTGAGGGTTATTGGTGTGGGAAGAACAACTGAATGGGACTGACAACCTAGGTGCCAATATAAAGTGGATCAAGTGCCAATATTGGTGAGTTAAGTGAATGAATAGATAAAGGTATTAGGTACATAGCAAGAAATGGATAGTGTGTTGCCAAGTGTCATAGCCCTGCCAAAGGTGCCCATCTGTTACCACTCTCCCACTTCCCCACCACTTATCTTGCCCTGTCAGTACTCTCCATAATTCATCACTCAGGGTGCCAATAGTTGACCCCATCTGTGGTCCCACATTGGCACCTTCTCCCTTCCCATCACCACTCTAACTTTGCTGATCACTCAGCTACATGCTATTCATTTATTGCTGAGCACCCATGTGTCCTGTTCCTGCCCATTCACTTAACTTACTTTAGTGGCCAATATTGGCACCTTTGATCCATCCCTATATTGACACTTGATCTGCTACTATATTGGCACCCAGGTTGTCAGTTCTCTCAGGTTTCCTCCCTACTTTGCCTCTTTGTTTAATTGTTCATTCCACTCTCATTCATTCTCTCACTCTCTGTCTCCCTGGTTCTCATCCCTCATTTAGTTTGTCACATTCACTGCTCTGCCTCCCATTTAGGCACCAGACTGACTGGCCCCTCTTCTGTTCTCCCTTTTGTATTTATGCATTGTAGATTACTTTGTCTTCACTTGAGCCTACATC